AAACGAACCGACAGGAAGTAGGTCTCTTTTCGCGAAGCTGGGACAGCAGGAGGAAGGGTGAGATTTTAGCTCTGAGCTCTGACTTCTCGGCTCTCTCTTTTACATTGTTTCTGTGTTTCTTATTTAATAAGACGGTTGGTTACATCTACACAGGATCAACTCCCAGCACCCACATGGTGACTCACAACTGTCTATAACTCTAGATCCAGGGATCTAGCACCCTCTTCTGGCCTCTATAGGCACCAAACATGAATGTGGTGCACACACACACACGTAGCCAAAACACTCATACAAATAAATAAATAAATAAATAAATAAATAAATAAATAAATAAATAAATAAACAAACAAACAAACAAACAAACAAATAACCGCTTCCCCCAAAAGACTTAGAAACACACATCTGATAGTCTTTCAAACCAACTTATTACAGCTAGATTTTAAACTACCTTCTTAATTTTTTGCAATGCTTAAATAATCTCAAAAATTATATGGGTAAAAGTCATTATTAAAAATAAAGTCTCAATGGCTACTCAGTCACTGTTGCACAAAAAGCCCCTCAAGATACAGCAGTCTTTTTATGTGGTTGTATCTCTGTTTTAAAAAGAAAATATACCAAGGGCAAGAGAGATGTTAAAGGCACCAGCCTGCTTATAGCTAAGACTGATGAGTCAAGTTTGATCCCCAGAACCCACACAGTAGTAGGTGAGCACTGAATCAAGCAAGCTATCCTCTGACCTATACATATGTAGGGGCATGCATACACGTACACACAAGTACAACTGATAAATAAATGTAAAAACTGCCATCACCTTGCTGCTAAGAACCAGTGCTAGAACAGCTGCCCCCCTGGTGTAGCGGGGCTCAGCTCAAAACTGACACTGTGGTCTCAGCCTAGCAGTTTCCTGTAGTGGGTGGTTGTCTGTGCCAGGCCCTGAAGCACTACCCCAGTGAGGCAGCAGGTAGCTGCTAAGGACCTGCCCCTTGGGCGTGGCCACCAGGGACCCTTAAGACCAGGGATGCACGTATGTGTTCTCTCTACCTCCTGGATTGTGGATGCTGAGACTGACCAAGGCAGAGCTCGCCAGAAAACAACTTGGACCTTGCCTCACCTTTCCAGGATCCTGCTACAATCCCTTATTTCTGTCTTGTGAGTTAACCCCCAAATAAATAACTTTGATCATTAGGCTGATTCCGTCAATTGATAGCAATTAAATCACATTAGGTTCCTGCTATGTCTGAAGCATTAAGAAAAATTGGGCACTGAAAAATGTCTGGTTCTGGATTAATTTTATCCTTCAAATCTCTCCCTAACTTAAAAAAAAAAGTTTGGTTTGCTTTTATTACAGATTATAATAAAGATCTCTTGCTGCATTTGCTCTTTTTTCTTGGAGAAGAAAATCCTGGGTCAACCAACAGTATGGCTGACCCTACAGATTCAGATACATATTTCCCTTGTAAAACGGTGAAAAAAATTCAAGTTATCCTACCACCTTATTTTTCAAATAAAGTTTAATTAATTAGCAAAAAAAATCCTATCTTTCATCCAGATTATCTTTACTTTTTTTTAAGCTTTTGAGGCAGGGTCTCATCTAACCCAAGCTGATCTCAAATTCATTACAAACTGAGAAGGGCCTTTGGCTCCCAGTCCTGCTGCCTCACCTCCCACGTGCTAGAACCACAGTGTGTACCATACTCTCACCAGTTCATTATCTACTACTCGTTCTTCACAAACGACCGCATGGAAACCAGTCTTTAGGAGCTGTGCATTATTTACAATTATAACCAACGGTGTTTATTTCCCCAAAATGAATTCAAGAAAGTGGAAGAAAAATAGGATAATATGGTAACAACTGAAGACTCAAGAATAATTGTCAACCCAGGAAAAAATGCTAATGTATCAATTACAAAGAAAACAGTTGTGGCAAAATCATAGCACTTACAGGAGGAAGTTAAACGTCTTACTTAAAATTAGAAGGTTACGTTCATATTCAGCTCTTATAGGTCATGAGATGTTTTCTCCTACTGTACGTAGTCTGAGCTGCATTCTCTCCTGGAACATGTGCAAAGCAGGCAGTGCCATGAGAAAAATAAGGTCTCTGGCTGTGGCCTGGACCTCTCGAGTGCAGGGCCACCCCATGGATGAGGCCCCTGGACGAATTCCATTAGCAACCAACAAACTAAGAGTCAGGGATTTTAAAACCTGGCTCATTGTTTCTTCAACTCTGAAACGCCACCTCTGGGAGTGCTTAATAACAAACAGACAGACCAAGTTCTTCAGGGACTTCCTCTGTCTAGTTTCAAACCCAGGGCTGTGGAAAGAACACAAGTCAGGAAAGCAGGAAGGGCTGGATGGGTGGATGTCACGGTGTGGGAACGGGGTAGAACACAGGCAGTAAGAAGAAGGAAAAGGGAATGATGGAGGGGAAGGGTTAAGTGGGGGGTGAACTGGAGAGCAGGAGAGGAGGAGCATGGGGAGGGGTAACTAACACTGAAGGCTTCTGGGAATGCCACAGGGAACCGTACCATAGAAAATACGTAAAACATATTTAAACATAAAAGATTAAATAGAGTTGCCTTATAAAGGGGTACAATGTCTTTGCTAAGTAACACCAAATTAAAAAAAGTGACTAACTCCTATTGTTTATCTTTTCTATTTCAAATCCGAATAAATCAAGTATTATTTTTTTCTAAGAACAATATCTATGTATTTTAAGATAATTTAAAATACAAATAAAAATAACACCTGACTGGCATAATTTTTAAAAATGCTTTCTTGTTCACTCAAATTAATAAATATGGAAATGGATTTTCCTCTTGGATAAGCATTTGCTCCCTCAGATTAGAACATGGGAGCTGGAAATCATTTTAATTATAATAAAAACCAATAAATTAAATAGAATTAAGTAGATCACTAAGTCAGATGCTGACCAAGATCATATATATCTTCTTGTTCTTCTTTTAAGAACTACAGATCTTAGTTAAGAAATAATAAAAATAAAATGAATTAGCTACCCTTATCTACTAGTGGCAGCCTTGAATTCTCCTTTATTTCTTCAGTTTTTGGACTAGCAGTTATCACTACAGAATTTAAGTGTACAAAAGGATCACAGCTCTACCCCATTACTGTCACAAGATGTCACCTTCAATTCTACAAAAGCTACCAGCCCCACGGGTCATAGAGATAATGAGACAGCAGTTATGTAAATACTGAGTAGATGCCTCAAGCAATTTGTCCATAAGCTGACAATATTTTGCTTGTCTGAGTTGAAAAGTGAAAAAGCGTCATTTTAACACAAAAGTTCCATTGAAGCTAAATTTCTGCCCGTGAGCTGAGGAGAGGGAGCTGAAAGAAGCCACATTTAGCTCTCGTGCTGAGTCAGACAAAGTAACTTTCCCAAGATCAGTGAATCTGTGAGGTGCTGGAGTTCTGCCAGGGGAAGTCCTATGGCCGCCAAGCTCATCTGCTGTCTTGTGAATGAACAAACTCTCTTCATCCGTTTATTTCTGTGCTTTATGGCTGACAATGAGTATAATTTTAGGGTAAAGTCAAGGTGTGAAACTTGAAGACATGTACTTATTACTTTTTATCTTCTCAATTCTAGTAATTATTTATTCAAACATAGACTAAAAACCTGACTATGGAAGCAAACCAACAGAAAGGTCAAAATAACACACCAGCAGAGAGAGAGAAGATACGGTGTTCACGTGGGTCTCACAAATACAGAGCAGTGTGCTCAGCAATCCTGCTTCAAAGCACCACTGAAACACTAGAGGACTCACGGAAAATTCTCTGCATGCCAGCACTGCATAGTACATCTGCCGACAATGTGTCAACTCATAAATCATTCTTTGCCTGGGTATTTACATTTGCAGGGCATTCTATTTTTGGAATGGTAAAGCTAAAACTTTGCTAATCCTACAGTAGTCTGCAAAAATTGTAAAGATTCCCACATAACACTCCCTGAAACAGGAACTATGCGTGAGGAATTCCAGCACTTTCTGCTGCACCACACTGCAGTACACTACTTTAACCAGAGTCTCAGTTCCAAATTCAGACTCAATCATAGCCATCACTCACCACTTTCTAGAAGAAACCACTATTTGGTGGGAAAGAGTAAAGACTATAAATTAAGTGTAATTCTGTTGTTTATTTTCAATAATACTAAGGTTATTGGAGCCAAATAACTACCAAATTATGCGATTTACCTTCCTGCCTTGATCATGAAAATAAACCCATAGCACAGCTCATATAAGATGGAAATTGTATATAAGACATTGTGTGTTTAGGAGAAAATGATTGTTTATAAAAATACAGGTATCAGAGCCAGGCACAAAAATCAGATGTCTAGAAAATGAATACTCATACTCAAAAACAGGCACAAAATCAGACATTGTCTAAAAAATGGATACTCATACTCAAGAACAGGCATAAAAATCAGATGTTGTCTAGAAAGTGGATAACCACACTCAAAATTGTCCTCACCTCCAGAGAAGCCCCCTGCAGTGATCTCTTCTTCGAATATATCGGAGAAACCCCTTCCTGCATTAAGCTTTGCCAGTCGACCATCAATAAACTGAAATGTAAAAGTTTCAAGTGTTAATTTTTTCATAGGTTTTATAACAATAAAAATTACTGATAAGTACAGAAAAATGGGGGAAATGGATAAAATAAAAATAAGGATGTCTACAACAGCCACAGGAATCATACTATTAACAATTTACTTAAAAGAAAACCATATACATGTAATTGTGTGAATAGATACACATACATAGTTTTAATAAACTTTTCCCATTTTGGCTGACAATGTTCCCTCCAAGAGTCAAAGACCACATAACAAAAACCATAATAGCAGTCATGAGAAGCATCTTTTGAGTTGTTGGCCAGGGCTGTGCAAGAGACTCCCAAAACATACAGCCTATTAGATACCTTGCTCAGTCTTGATGCAGGGGGGAGGGGCTTAGTCCTGCCTCAACTTGGTATGCTAGACTTTGTTGACCCCCCCAAGAGAGGCCTTACCCCCTCTGAGGAGTGGATGGGGGTGGGGAGGATGGGAGAAGGAGAGGGAGAGGGAACTGTGGTTGGTGTGTAAAATGAAAAGAAAAAAATTTAAATTAAAAAAATTGCCTTTCGTGGCCCCCAAAGGTGGAAGGTAAGTCCCTACTGCTGAAGACACCAAGCACTTCAGACACAGGGCCACGAGACCCCCGAGCTGGAACTGACTTGAATGCCTCTTCCCTGAGGACCAGCTCTAACAGTGTCAGAGGACACCATGCAAGCTTCCAAAGGAGAGAGGCAACCAACAGTCCTGCCCAGCTATGATGCCTATGAACCACATCAACAACCAGCAGGGCACAATGAGGGGTACTACTGGCATGCATACCATGTAAACAACCGCTCTCTAACTGTTAAGATCCACTAAATAGGAGGGAAACCATGCCTAATACTGGAAACCTAGGTAACTACCAGTGCTCATAAAGTCACCGTTATTGGAGGAGAATCTACAACAACGAATTTACTAAACCAGCATAATTCTAACAATATCTACAAACATTTGTCCTTATACCCATAGATAGGCATAGTTCTCACCCCTCTTTAAGGAAACTTCTCTTTTGCAACAGATGGAGACCACTACAGAAACTATAACCAAACAAAATGAAGAGTTGTGGAGACCAGTCCCAACAGATACATTGACAAAACAAGTCCCACATCTAAGGCTCACAGAATATTGCAGAAGGTGGGGGCATAAAGATTTAAGAGTCAGAGCATCAATGAGTTTACTGTGAGACTGTGTTTCGTAGTAATATCAGAAGCCACACCTATAAAGTGTCACTGACATGACTGCCCAAACACGAGCTCAACAAAAATGACAACAATGGTGATGCCATAGCAGATGGGGAGAAGCTCAAGAAGTCCCAATTATACACAAAGAACTTTAGGCATCTGAGTAAAGCTGGGAGTAGGAAAGGTGGTCTTCTCGAGGGATGAACACACCAATTGTTTGTTCAGTGCCAAAAGGTCAACCCTGAAAACATTCTGTGGTGGTGGTTGGAATAGGTATGCCTTCCCCCATAGCCTCCTGAGTTTGAATGCTTGGCCTATAGAGAGTGGCACTATTGGGAGGGGTAGCCTTGTTGGAGTAGGTGTGGTCTTGTTAGAGGAGGTGTGTCACTGTGGGGGTGGGCTTTGAGATCTCATATGCTCAAGCTATACGCAGTGTGGAACACAGTTCACGTCCTGTTGCCTGTGAATCAAGATGTAGAACTCTCAGTTACCTCTTCAGCACTATTCCTGCCTGTAAGCCAACAGGATGGTAACAGACTAAACCTCTGAAACTGTAAGCCAGTCATAATGAAATGTTTTCCTTTATAAAAGCTGCTGTGGTCATGGCGTTTCTTCACAGCAATAGAAACCCTAACTAAGACACATTCATACAAGTAACATTATAAGGACTGAGCCTATTATATTTGTGAGTATATATATGTATACACATATATATATGCACATGCAGTAACAGTGAAAAAAGAAGCCATGAATTTGAAGGAGAGTGGGTATGGGTATATAGGAGGATTTGGAAGGAGAAAAGGGAAGGGAGGAATGTAATTATATTACAATCTCAAACATAAAAATTTTAAAATGTTACTCATAAAAATACTAACAGCACATTTTGCCACAGAAATATGCATATATGTGCTGTACACACACACACACACACACACACACACACACACACACACACACACACACACACATGTCTTTATGAAAAATATCAGTCTTAACAGTGCAAAGAGTAGCCCCTTGGTGACCAGCC